CTCTTCAATTAAGTGGGACACATCAAACTACAAGCCCAAAAGTAGATGTCAGTGACTTTTAGTAAAGTTTGAGCTTCAAAGTAGGCATGACTGATGTTTTGGTTGAAGAGGGGGCTGGCTGGTTTTTCCCCGACATGCACAGGCAAAAAAAAAGTTGGTTGGAGTAGTCCAACATATTACCTAACAATAAAGTTTATTGTTTTTTAAATACGAATTTCTTGCCTTTCTTAAAACAGAAAGTGTAATTGCCTGCCGGGATTCGGCCCATTGGAAATTTATAAATAAAGCAAAATATATCCAATACACATGGAATACAATTTAAATAAATGAAAGAAAAAAGAAGGTAAAAACAAAATACAAATAAAAGCAAACAGAAAAGAGAAGATACTAAAAGGACAGTTACGATTTACATTACTTAATTTAAATCATTATTTAATAATCTTCCCTAATCCTAGCTTTTGCATAACTAATTAATTTATTCCAGTCAGGTCCATTAAGTAAATTTATAAAGCAATCTAATGGTATGAACATTTAACCGAACATTGATAGCCGATAAGGAGCCAGTAAAGGGTAATCAGCAACAAAGTGGAATTCACCCGATGATTAGCATACCTTTTTGCTGACTGATATTCCTGAGGCGTAAGACAAAGGTTCAGCAATTCTCCTTTTAACTTTATTAACTTTATAAACAGACGTACATCCGAATCAGCAGCCAACGATTTACCCATTCCCACAATCTCTTCAACTACTATGGTAAAATATTCTACACAGGTCAGCGGAAATGAGAAATAGGATCAGCCTCAACTTGAAGTGTAGTTGGAGCGAAGTTTGACAGAATAAACAGTTTTACCATAAAAAAAAACAAAACATTCACATTGAAATAATTGATGTGGATTGAGTAAATCAATTCAATGGTTATATCTCTAGGTCTAATCACAAACTGTACACTCTCTTAACTTACGATAATTTCTTGGATCCCTACACTTCCGCAAGTCAAGACAAGATTGATCATGATACAGCATTAAAATTTTATGCCATCCAACTTTTTCAATATAATTTGGGGTTATATTATGTTCTTTTTCCAAGAATTCGCGGCAATTTTGGCCAATTTAGCCAGGAAGATATACGCTGGATTCCTTGGTGACAATTTCATCGAAAATTCATTGATGAAACCAAAAAGATCTCGAACCGTTATTTCCTAAATTTTAAGTTATCTTGGTTATAATCAAGAAAAACTGGATTATTCCAGGATAATCGAAGAATCGGTCAACGAAGCAAGGACATGCCTACATGGATGTTCAAAAATCTTGAACATCATCCATATTCCCTTTTAGCCGAACTGAATATCAATGTTTAAGCTAAATTTCCGGGTTTTTTTATGTTATATTCTTTCGAACTTTACAAAAGGTTTTGCGCTATAATACCTTTAATTTGCCCGAGCATTTTCAGTAATACTGTTATTTTGAATATTAATTAAATTGAACATTCCGTATGACTTTTTGCTCATCGATTTCCCTATTTTTGACATCGTCTCTCTAATGCTTTTAGTTTATTGCCAGCCCTGGAGATCATAAAATTCAATGTCTCTTAACTGGGCAACAATAAAAAGATCAGTAGACATTTAGGCTAGATGGAGTTTTTCGCCCAGTTAAAATATTTTTACGATTGAATTTTTAAACTTCGCCTTGATGTTTAGTGAACATTTGAAACAGAATGAAAGTTTTTTCAAATTGAAAACCTTTACATTTATTTTAATTAAGCATTATGTCAATAAATATTTACGAGTAATTCACAAATTAATTAATCTTTAAGGGATTCAACAATCTAGTTTTCAAGGAGGAGGAATTTGGATAGGCTATAGCAAAGAATGTCTCTTTTGTGACTTAAATTGTCTTACATTCAGAAAGAAGGTTCTTACCTCTTGTTTATAACCAACCATCTAGCAAGTTTCTTTTGGATATCTTTGCTGAAATCATGTTTTAATGCCGAAAAAATAATTCGTTTGGCGGGGAATTTAAGTGCCTCTTTTACCACGAGTGAAAATAAGAATTCGTTGATTTATGGTGGGGATTAAGGAGTGTCCCGTTTATCTGGTATATAAATATGAATTTGTCTTTTGGCTCATCTCATTTACATTTTCAGTTCTAAAATATTCTGCCATATTGGAGAGATACAGAGATGTAATAGATGAAGATGATGAGATTACTGGCGGGGTTTGGTACACCTCAAGCAGCCTTTTGGCTAATAGTCCTTTTTCTAGCTCCTTGAGGTCATATAATTAGATTCTTCTTTTAAGAAATAGTAGGTCTTAGAATGTCATTACTCCAATTATTTTTCGCAGGTATTGTTGGCATCTTACGTTATGTCTCTATTGAGTGGTTCACATTCAGTTGTAGTATGGGTGGCAGATTTTTCCTCTTCGTTACATAAGCTACACATAAGGTCATCATTGAATATGTGTTTATTCAAATATTTGTGGCTATATTATACTGTATTAAGATCCTGAGTTTTACCTTTCTACGTGGAGCAGTAAAATTTCCTCCTTCGTTTGGTATGGACCCTTTCGGAGATAATGTCCTTTTTTTTATTTTGTTACACCAATTATAGGTCCTGTCAGTGTAATTGAGCTCGCAGATCATTCTCTGTTTTTTGAGTAACCGAAAGTCCTATATGTCAAGGCACTGAAGATATTGTCAATTACGGTTTCTTCCATGTTTTGGAGATTTCGGATGCATTTATTGGACTTGTTTATCTAGTACTGTCGTGGTGTTAAAGTATCAATGTAGATTTTGATTTATACAGGGTTTCCTTTTTACATGGCCCGGCAGAATTTCTTCTAAACCAATGACGCTGTAAAAAAATGTCTAGTTTCACTTTTTTTGGAGAAAATTTATACAGGTACCTCAGGCCCAGTTCCGCTACATAAGGTATTCCATTCAAAATGAACCGAAGAGCACATTTTTCCGATTGAGTTGATTTTGTACGACTGTTTTCTTAATTGTGGCGGTATGCGCTTCGTGCAGTTGAGTCGTACTCCCAGAAATTTCCTGATCGCCCCAGAGTAAACGACAAAACGTTTATTCGTGTTGCTCGCAATATGAGGAGATACGAATCTGTTGCTGTTTCTTCATCAAGAAGCCTGCAGCGTAATTTCGACGAGGAGCTGAATATTTTACTGTATGTTCGCTAAAATCCAAATCCTTTCTACGAAATATTAGAAGGGATTTACGTTTTTGAAAAAATAAAATCAGATAAATACTCCGGACTTACAATTTTAAGCCGTATTGCTCTCATCTTTTCCAAGGACCTCGGGTCTCACATTATGACAGGCGCCTAACATTCATTGCCCAAATGTCGACTTGGGAGGTTGAAGAAAACATTCTTCCATACATCCTATGGTCTGTTGAATCCATGTTAACCTCTACTGGCATATCAAACCGTGCGAATTTTGAATATGGGCAGAGGAAAATACGAGAATTTTGTATTCTTGTCATCATCAGGTGGTTCATCATTTCCATCAAGGTTTGATGTGGACTTGTCGGAATAAAATAATTGGGCCTTATTTCTACGAAAATAATTTAAATTGTGCTCAGTTTTTATATTTTTTAGGGAGTTTTTACGAACATTATTGTATTTATTCCTCTGCAACAACGACAAAGAATCTTTCTTCGGCATTGTTACTTCCGGGATAGGTGGATAGGACTTAATGGCCACATCTGTTGACCTCCTCGGTCACCCGATATAATTCCACTTGAATATTTTCTGTAGGGCCATTTAAAAAACAGTCCACGCCAATCCTAGCAACGTCAGTTGAATAACTCCGGCAAAGTCATAGATAGAAAATGCTTGTCAATCCATCTCCACGCCTCTATCGCTCTGACCACCGTGAAGAGTGGTTAAAAAGAGCAAATCTTTGCATCTACGCAAGGCAGGCAGTTTGAAGATGAAATGTTATTAATAAATAGCAAATCAAATGAATGATTTGTTTTCAAAATGTTTCCATAACTTTGTCATTTTTTACCAATTTAAACTCCTTTAATTCTTTTATAATAAAATTATTTTCAGCATAAAACCCTTTTAAATGGTATGTTGGGACGTATCATATCGAATTTGAAATTTTGATGTTGAACTGGGCCTGAGGTTCGCTGTATAGTTTTTTTTTCCAAAAAAACGAAAAATTTGAAACTAAACTAAAAAAACTAAACAGGTTTTTTTTGTAGCGTCATTGGTTCAAGAGAAATTCAGCCAGGCCATCTAAAAAGGACACCCCGTATATACAGATTTTCCACCAGTAACAAAATAATGAAAGTAGAAATGTACTATGAATTAAACTCAAAGGTTAGGTTCTGTGTATACAGAATATGCATATAAATGGACTTCCTCCTGTTTCACGGAAATAAATTCGTAAAAGCATTATGGATAATATTCAAATTTAATCAAGAAGTGACAAATAGCCCTCCACTCTGGGAAAGACATGGAAGTATCAGTAATGTTAGTATTAAATGTGTGGTGATTAATGACCGTTAATTGATAATTATTCAGAAATCGTGAGATGCGGTCTGGTGTGATGTAGGTTTCAAAAAAACATTTTCTTTATCGTGCAACGTTTCGATCTTTATTGAGATCATCTTCAGGGCCTGGGGTTTACAAACATTGTTTATATTGAACAAATACATTTAGGATGTGGAAAAGTGAATGTATACAATGCAAAATATATTTTTTATACAAAGTATACCTACTAACACGAAGTGTTTACACAGAAGACAAACACTTTGAGTGAGTAGAAATACGTTGATTGAATATAAAAAAATTATTTTGCATTGTATAAATTCACTTTTCCATATCCTAAATGTATTTGTTAAATGTAAACAATGTTTGTAAATCCCAGGCCCTGAAGATGATCTCAATAAAGATCGAAACGTTGGCACGATAAAGAAAATGTTTTTCTGAAACCTTCATCACACTAGACGGCATCTCACGATTTCTGAATAGTTAGTATTAAAGGAAAAATTATTTGGGGGTTGTAAATGCAAGATAGAACATCCGTCTGTGAGTCACTTACCTACTTGGTGATCTAGGACTACGTGTGAATTGTACGGGAAGAATAATAAATAAGAAAATGTAATAGCTAGGAACCAATGTGAAAATAGACAAAGTCTCAGAACATACAATCAATTGTATAGACAACAATTCATGCAGTATATAATCTGGGATAGAAAGAAAGTCCAGATAATGAAAATGCAGCAACGACAGCCAATGAATGACTTCTTAGAATTAGGAATGAGTCGATTGAACTCAAATAAGGAAGTAGTAAAGTACAATACGCTTAAAAGCTGCAGTGTTTGGGGAAGAAAAACCCCAACTTATATCCATCATCATTACCCATACAGTCAAAGTCAGTGCACTTAAGGTAACAAGGAAATGATTGATACGACCTCGTGTTTACACTTTATGCCAGTAATAAGCAAATAAATGCTGAAAGGCGCTATTAATCAAGCTGAAAGGTAGTTAGGAAGTATGAACTAAAACGAACGATACTAAAATAAATGGAACGAGAAGTTACTATAGAAAAGGACCGGAACGATGGAGAGTTGTTGATAAAGACATTGAGAGGGACTGTGACGAACATACTTGGTTATCAAAGACGAAGGATCAATCAATTGTGAACGGAGAAACATGGAATTCTGATCTTGGCGTGTGCCTAAAAACAAATCGAACTCATTCAAATGACAGTAATTCATTTGAAATAATTTTTCTGCCACCTCACTGAAATTGGATACAATTTGTGCAGATGTCCAAAAGCGTCAAAAACTTTGGTCTTAATCAAATATTTTGTTTAGAGGTGTTATTGTTGTAGTTATTGCATCACTGTTGATTTTATGTTTCGGCTTTTCAACATGAAATTATGCGGATGTACACGGTGTCTTAATCTGCAAGACAGAAATGATAAGTTTGGTTTTTACGTTTTCCATTTTTATGGAGTTTCCTAGCTAAAAATCTAAATATTCCAAACTCAACTCGTATTATATAACTTCAGTTTATCTTTGGTATTGTGCATTTAAATAAGGGCAATCATAATATTATTGAAGAATATTTCCTATATTCTGTTTTTATTTCCCTGCGACGCAGACCTTCAACGTTTTCGGCATTTTCGATAGTGTAACAATATACTTGGTTTATTGATTCTAACTTATCCTCCAGAACGCCCTGCCTACAACAAAACGCGCCTTCCATTGTTGTTTCATTGTGCTAGTTTTACTAAATAAAAACTAGCTAACTATGTAAGTTCAATAAATAGTTAAAGTCCCAGCCAATGCTGATTGATTACCATAAGTATTGTGGTTAGAATATTATTTTCATCCAGCAGATTTTACATACTCCCTAGATTGATAATTGGCTACGTATGAAAAAAGTACGTATTTTTCTATTGGTCAATTTAGCAAAAATGAATGTAGAATTAATTCCTAATAACCTTAATTGTATTGAAACAAGTATTTTGTCAACTGTGTTTAGCCAAAACTCACTCGAAACATTCTGGCTTGATAAGTCAAGACATTTCATAATTCTTTTCGGGTTAGATACCATATTTACCATTCAACGTATTGTTATCGAAATATATAATAAAATAATTATTCAAGGTGGGATGAAAATATGATGCAAAAAGAGGCATACAAATATGTCAGATTTGAATGAAATACAAATGTATCAAATATTTCCAAACAATGTGCGGTTAATTAATTAACAGTAAAAGGTGAATTATGACATTATTGCCATTTCGAACTTTGAATTGTTTCTTTATAACTACAAACAAGAATTGAATCTAGTCTCATTAAAATCAATTCGACGTTCATAAGAAAATATTTTTATTTGATTTAAAATTGAAAATATTTAGTAAAACAGCTGGCATATTAATAATATATGCCATTTAGGTATCATATGATATTTCTGTATATTATAAAAAATATGATGATAATTTAAAAAGAATATAAACTGCATACGATTACAACCGATTTTTTTAAAATTTAAAATTGATAAAAGAAAGTTTATATTTTTTCTGTCACAGTTTCATGATTTAGTTGATAGTAGTTTTAAAAACATCGTACAACCGCAAAAACAAGTGCCAAAACAAACAAAATGCCTGTAACCAAGGTGATATTAAATCTCGAAATTTTTGAAATTGCCATAATTTTTAAAAGACTCGCACGGTGAAGTAGTGTGTGACGCGTCATCCGGAATTTAGTATTCTTTTTCAATAATGATGCAGGCATTGCAAAGGAAGGACTCCGGTTGTAAGGTAAGAGTAAAAGTAAATAATAATTTCCTGTTCAAGTCTCTTAATTTTTATTTTTTCGTANATTTAAATCACGGATCAGATCCCTCAAAAAAAAAAAAAAAAAAAAAAATAGTCGACCAAAATTTAAATTTGCAAAATTTTAAATTCAACTGGGACTTTGGACTCCTCTTCCTCAAATAATTGGGCAACTAGAAGTTTAGTTATCTCAATTTCTCTTCGTCCGTCTACCGATTATATTCTTAAATTATATAAAATTTTTTATTTTGTTGATCCCAACCAAAATTTAAGAATCAAGAATTTCTGAAGAAATTTATGTAATAAATTGTCAATAATAAATTTTTAATTTTGTTCATACGCTTTTTTATTTATATTGCTTTAATTATCTCTATCGACAACTAAAATATAGTAAATGGTAAATGTTGATCCAAACAAAATTCAAGAATAAATCTTTTTATGGAAAATATATGTAAAAAAGTTGTCATTAATCAATTTTTATTTTCTTCAATATGCTCATTTATATTGTTTTAATTATATTTCTATAACTGGCTGAAATATGATATTATAGTAACGACATTGTTTTCTCTGAATATGATAAACATTGTTTGAAAAAGTTCTAATATTTGGAAATTCTCATTTATTTAAAAAAATTGAAGTTGATACAAACGAATGCCATAGGCAGGATAGTTTGTTGGTTTGTAACAGTACTTGTATTGTATAGGAAGGGACAACAGCGCTCATGTTTATCTCTACATACTCTCTTAAAACCAAAAACACAATTTTGACATGTTTTATTCATTCGTACAAGAAACATATCAATTTTATTCCCGAAAACACTTTTTCTAATATTCATCCAACATTTGTGTGACGCGGATTAATTTATAGCGTACATTATAAACTCTTGACGAAATGATTTTTGTTCGTTCTCATGTTTTGGCACCTTCTGGATGTTCATTTGTATGAAGCATCTAAAATATTCGCAAGTATTTTTACCTCCTGAATAATTCGGCAACGAAAGGAATTTTAGATATATAATGTGTTGACCAGGTACTCTTTTAGATTTGAAAGTGGTTATTTTCCTCTATGCAATATTATACATGGCTTTCGTTTCGTGAACTATTATTCTACGCATTCCAGATGGACTATTTTGACAATCGTTTTACGTTTAATCAGTTTTTCTCATATCGATTAGTGTCTTTAACTAATTATGTGATCAATTATCAATAGTAATCAGCTAAACAAACATTTTAAAAAAATAACGCCAGGTTCTGTAGAAGTTAGTAGAACGTTTAAATCATGCAAAAAAATTGGTGTGAACCGATTTTACATGATTTAAATATGTAAATTTTATTTTTTATAAAATGAAATAGTTTATTTATTGTCTAGAAATTCATTATTTTCACAATTATTTCGTTCATCATTACTCTATCACTGGCAATATTGAAACATTTATACTGATCCTTGTGACAACGATTCCGCTTCTACGCCCTGAAGCACTGCCGACCGATCAGTTAGGTTCATCTAATTAGATATTTTACAACTCAAGGTATAATATTATTGAATTTTGTTTAGAGTCTGAAAGTGAGAGTGAAAGTGAGCGAGATAAAAATATGTCCTTTGTCAAAAGTCGTTTTCGGTTCGATTGATTTTATTTTGAAATCGGGTTTGTGTTAACGGCAGTGGGTTTCCGGGTCTAGGGAGAGCTCTGGGACTTCTAACGTTGATTAGTGAAGACACTTCTAAATTAGATAAAGCCGTTTAATTACATTCATCCTACTAACGGTTGTATCATGCCGGCCAATCCCCAGGGTAACACCTCTGTTTCAACAACAAAACTGAAATCTCCCGCTTGATCTATAGGTAGTCAAACGAGTATATCCGTCTATTAGTAAAATTGATTTCATTAGCTTTTTAAAACTTTATTAACGAGACTTTCCACCCAACTGGAAAAACTCTTTACGAATATGTTCAAAGTTTAACACGAAGAAGTCCTTACGTTTACAGAAAACAAATTTCAATAAACTGTATTCATGAATCTACGGTATTCAACCATATAAACTTTATCAGTCCTATAAATAGAAACATAAGTGGCCGATCAATGCTATCGCTTTCCAAAATACCCATCTAATCCAATAATATAATAAAACCGTCTTTTGGCAGTTTACCAATGTTTGCATGAAAGAAATATCCACTACATAAATGAATCATAAATACGTAAAATAAAAATCATACATTTAAGTTGATTGATATGCCAAACATTTTAAAACAATTAGGTAAACAGAATTATAATGTATAAATCTTTAAAAGACATGTTGGTTTGGCTGATAATGTCGAGTTACTTTACTCAGCCATCAGCCTAGGTTTTGGATTTGACGACATGTGTTCGTAACTGGCCAATAAATGTAAATAAAAAGTAAATAAAACTCTTTAGACTGGAATAAAAGAAAAATATCATTGATTACTATGATAGGTATATCACCAATTTTCCCTCGGGAGTATTAAGTACTCTGTGGTAGTGAGAAAAAATTTGTGAATATAATTTATATATTTATTGTGGTGAGAATGAATGTGTGAATATAATTTATTTGTGTGAATGAAGGTCACATCCCCACTTACTCCGAGCTTTTTCGAGTGCTCTATTGTGGTGAGAATGAATGTGTGAATATAATTTATTTGTGTGAATGAAGGTCACATCCCCACTTACTCCGAGCTACATCGAGTGCTCTATTGTTGTGAGAATGAATGTGTGAATGTAATTTATTTTGGTGAATGAAAGCGCACATCCCCAATCGCCCCGAAGAATATCGGGTACTCTGAGGTAGTGTGGATGTTACGAGACTATCCCGTTATTATATTTCTATGTTTCTGTGCATTTGTGTTTGTTTTTATCCGCAAATGACGAGGCCCTGAGGAAGCGAGAGGATAGTAGCAGGATAAAGAGTAAAGAGAATTCCGTTATGTCATACAACATGCTAACATGGCTGTGAGAAGCATCAAAAACAAAGTAGTTTATAACGCAGAAAGAAATACAAACAAATAATGCAAAACTAAAAAAAGAAGGCTGGCCATGGCCAACAGAGCGCTCGCGATGACCAATGTCGGTCCTAAAACTAAAAATTTTGATTTTCCGATTTCCTGGTGTATGCTGGCAATGTTACAATGTAATATATAATTTCCATCAATGATTATCCGACTATTATTGATTGGCCCAGTTTTTAAGTTTTATTTTTATTGACCTTGCACAGGTCTTGATAGTCGGTTGTCACCGGCTCTCTGTTCCGATTGATTTTGTTTTCAATACTTGGTTTGTCTTGTCGACCTCCTAACGCTGATTGCTGCAGCCACTTCTGAATTCTATATTGCTGTTTATTGACATTCAACGTATAAACGGTTGTCATGCCGCTTCATCCCCAGAGTAATCCCTCTTCTTCAACGACAATATTCAAAACACGACTCGCCTCTTCCCAAATGTTTTCAACTTCTAGTACAAACAAGTAGTCACTTTACAGAAAACAAATAAATTTCATAACTGAATCAACGTCCAATCAATCCAAATTATGTATGGATGTAATTGTATCATAAGATTTACATGTTATTGCTAGAATAACTAAAAACAAATAAGTGGCCAATGGTGTTTATGCCATCGACTCCTAAAGCAAGCTAGTATCGCAATTATTTAATAAAACAGTAAATTTTATCGTTAATGGCTATCTAAAAGCAATAAAATGTTTGGTAGTACATATCCATTCATACAATGAATCATTAATATACGCAATGTGAAGAATCAAGTACTTAAGCTCGTGTGCAAAATATTTAAAAAATGAAGATAAACATGCTTTCTGCCAGTCATACATTAACAAAGTCATGAAATAAGAAGCTTTAATATAGGCAGGAAGGACCATCGAACCTTCACTGTCTGGGGAAATACAAGGCGATAGCAGTTCTTTGAAATTCAAAAAGAGTTTGTGGGTTTTAAAATAGATAATAAGGGTAAATTGAATATGAGTTATTAACAGCATAACTTGAACTCAACATTGACCTAGAGTCTAGACAAATAAATAGATGGCTGTATCATAACGTATTGCCACCCAACATCCCCTACTAATGATATGATTTGACTAAACACATTTTGTCTATACGATTCTCCATGGGAATAGCATGCATACTAAGAAGAAGACATAAATCATTAGAGTGACCGAAATGCATGACAATTTTAGGTACTTTCATACTTTGTGACAAATGATGTAATGGTAACTGGAACCACTGTTGACTTGTAAGAAACAACCGGAACATAATGCATTTCTATAATAAAAATTCATTCATTGAAGTCTATGGACTTAGTAGATAATAAAAAATAAATTAAAATAATATTATGCAGCATTATGCCAAGAAAATTGCTATGAAATTAGTACAAAAGTATTCTGGAAGTGCCAAATATCCGTCCAATGCCTCGGTAGCATCAATACAAATAGAAATCCTTCATAGTTTGACAGATGATAGAAAAATCATATACGAACTTACTTTTATCAAGGGATATGATTAAATTAGACGAGAATTTGTAGCACAGTAACATAGAAGTAACGTTGAAATGGTAAAAGCCACGGGAACAAAGCTAATCAATAAAGTAATCCATTCTGTCAACGAATATGCACTGCAAAAGTTTGAAAGAATACCATATATACATACATTCTGCTAGTTACATGATAATATTATGAATAAATTTCAGACCGTCTTCAAGCCTAAGATAACGTACAATCGATATTCTAATCAATCATCAATGATGTCAAATTTTATGCACTTAGGGTGATAAGCATTTATACAGACTTTATGAGAAATAAACATAAGTACAATTAATTAAACAAAAATGGTCCAAACAAACGTCTCCTGTTAGGTAAAAGACGTGTAGTAGCAATAATATTACTAGATGATTAAATGGTACAAGGATTTAAAATTAATAATTACAACAGGACTATGACGATGAATTAAATATTTTCTGAACAGTGGTCATGGAAATATTGCATAGGAATTGTAAGGTAATAGCATTAAACCTTAAATAACTTGGAGAAATTCCCAGAATAGGTGTAGTTTATCCGAAAAATATTAACTTCAGACCATAATAAGGGTCTTTCTGCTGGCTACACGGTAATAAATGCACTAGGAATAAAGCTCAAGTAGGGTAGCATTCTCTAATTTATACTATGTTACTAACACCTTCATTGGATAGCAAGAAATAGTGAGTATATAAAATATATACAGGAAAACGGCAGTAGCTGTAATGTTATTAGGAATTAATACTTGGAGACTTTGAACTAATATTGACCTGAAAAAGTGTACCTAACAATCCTCCAACTGCTAAATTCTCTCCCTTTGAGGTAATTACTCATTGATTGAAAATATATTTACAGGCTTTCCGCCAGCTATAGATTAAACAATGCAGCATTAAGCTTAAAAGTAGTGAAGAAGTCCCAAACAACCGGCTATTGTCAGGTAAATTGCTGCTTTCTGCTTAGAATATAAAGAAAAAATTGATTACATATCATCATTTCTGTTAGCTGTACAGTAATAAAAGCCAAAATTTACTATAAAAAAACAAAAAATGTGGTCAGGAAGTGGAAAATAACCCTTCAATGTCTAGAAACAGGGCTGGGGTAGCAGTATATGAGATAGAAAGCATAAATGGTTTGATACCTGTGGAAGAGTGGATAAAAAACAGCAGAGTGAACATGAGTTTCATACGTGCTAATCAATAGTCTAGAAAAAATTGAATAAGAATTGATAATAGAATCACTTTGAACCAATTTTGCTCTGGAATTTATAAAACAAAACATCCACCTAATGTTTCAAACATTTCAGGCAACACTAAATTCATAGGAGGCCATACGAACAAACCTTATGCCACGTACCATTAATACATCATAAAGACAATGAAGTTAGGTGCAACTAGGTAAGAAACTGACCAATAACAATGCATTGTCTGGGAAATGGCGAGGACTAACTATTATTTGTAGTTGCTCATAAGATAATAAACCAAACTTACACTACATTATAAGATTAATAGGAACTTGTGTATGCTTGTTGCAAATTAATAAATGCTTAAACATACTATAAATTAAATTCAAATGTTGTCAGGATGTGTCGAAAAATGTTTTGATTATGTGCAAAATCGGAGGAAATAGTAGTGCTTTTATTAATTTGTCTTTCCAAAATTTGGAATTTAATGGATTCATATTATGGAAAGAAAGAAAAACCTATTTGACTACATTCCACATCATCTAATACTTCAAAGCTGAATAGGGAGGGATTAGCGTTAGTAGTTAAAAGGTATAGCTGATTGTGAAATAAACCGGCCCTATAATATTACTTTTACTAATTTATGACAATGGCTTACATACTTTCTCATCAACGGCTAAGTACAGGAATTGGTAACAGGCCAAGATGGAATCTACTATTTCCTAGAGAAGACATCGCAAAATATCTACTATACTTAAGGTCTTTGCACTTAAGTAATAATCAAACGATGGGAATGATCCCTTATATACAAACTTTCTACCATTTACACACTACACACTACAAGAAGTATAGTAGTACTAAGTACTACGAATTAAGCTAAAATAAAAATAGACTTGTCAGGAAGAGATAAGTTGCTCCCCTACGTCAAGGACTGGAATAGTAGCACAAATACATGAATAATTGGAGAGTTGTTAAAGGGATAGTAAATACCTTCTATGGGACCCTGACTTACATACTTGGTAATTAATGGTGAATCGTATAACTGAATAAAATTAACAGAAAATTTTTAAGAAATGTAGATCTGCTGAAACCCCCAGGAATGTTTTAATGATATATCCATGCACTTGAAAACTTCAAGTAGTAGAGATAGTTGAAAGAAGGCTAGATTATAGACTTCTACCAATCAAACATCATAAAAGCTTTAGCAATTAAGCAATTAAGCTGGGAGAATACCAGGAATAATGTGATAACACTCCTTTTTCTGAGAAAAGACAAGGATTACGCGCAGACTACAGTTATGGTAATAAGCAAATGATACGTTACATTAAACTATTGCTAGGACTCTTGCGTATGATCTTTATGCGTTTTGTGCCTCTTTAATTATTATAAATTAAGGTCAAAAGTAGTAAGGACGTTGACAATAACACTCCACTTCCAAAATTATAGAGTTAGCAGTAAAATAACTTGCGGATTGATGTTTCTCAAATAAATGGTAAAAACAGGCAAGATGGCCGTGATGAAGACATTAGTGATCGTGTCTTTAGGATAAATTGAACATGTATTGGTAACAGAGCAACATTGATAAATCTTGACCTATGATACCCTCGTTACATAAAATAATTTAAAAATTCAAGTGTATGAACTGAAAGTAACAAGGAAAAGATTTGAAGATCCTTATATACGGATTCTGTGCCGTTACTCTCTCTAATTGGAGTAAAGTCTAACGAATTAAGTTCAAAAGTGGTCAAGAAGTGCCAAATTACCCTCCGCTCCCTAGGAAAAGACAAGGAACAATCAGAAATTAGTAGAAAGGGATAAATGGTTTGAGGGTTGTAAAGTAGATGATAAAAATTGCTGTGTGAACATGTCGTAAATTCTTGAAGTTCAAGGACTAAGTGCACGATAAGTACGAACGATTCTTCATATGGAGCATGTCACTGAATTTATCCCTTCAATACTATTATCAACAATCCGTGCCGTCAAAGTTTACCGAAACCTCATGTGTACTGATTTTATGGCAGTTATTCGGAAATCAATAAAGGAAAAAAGTGTAATTTATGCTGAAAGAAAGGTGGAATGTGCGAACTAACCGTCCACCGTCAGGAACATGAAAGGATGTAGTATGAATAGATAAAAATACAGAAACTGTGGAGAGAATTGAGACATCAATGATGAAAACAGCCTGTGTCACCGTGACGTACGTACCTACTCTGTGATCAAAGACTAAGGATAAATTGAACATGAATTGTTAAAACAGTAACGTGGAAACAATATTGATCCTCGAATAGCGCAAAACACAAATCCAAATCACCCAACGACAGTACATTTGAAATAAATTTTTTGCGCGTTCAAAGAAATTACTTACGATTTGCCTGTGAGTTTTTTCGAAATCTTCAAAAAGTATACATTAGATCATATATTTCGATTAGAGGCGTTAAAATTTCGCCTTCGCTCTTGAAACCAAACTTAACAGATCTTCCTTGTTTAACTCTAGAAGATAGAAATAATTAGATTTGTTTTTCTAGTTTTCCTTTTTATAGAGTTTCTATGATTATAATGATACTAAACCGTACTCATAGTACTATCTAGTCTTTGCTATTGTGTTTGTATGAAAGCAATGTTGATATTACTGCTACCTCCACTTTTCGTACTGTGTTCATGTTCTGGCTGGCGTTCGTATCTCCTAGCAGAACCAGTTTCAGGATCAGCTTGCTATCACAAACTCTGCAAGAGAAAGGTAATTCGTGTTACCCGTAACATATGTATATGCTTTTATTAATTCTATCTTTTATGCTCCAAACCTACCATGTCTTCAAAAAACTTACCTTCATTCTACCAGTAATGTTGGACGAAGCTAGCTTAATTATCTGTCTAATCCACCGTTGATGCTGGTTTATAGCGATATGTTCTGTGGACGGTATATCATTTTCGTCGAATAGATTCTGCATACTCCTCAGATTGTTATTTCCTGGAGATATTATGTTGATAATCAATTAATATAAATGTCCAAAATTTGATAGGGCGCTACTGTGAATGTAGTACTTACTTTTTTTGGGGACGATCATCCTTCTGCTATGCTAGGAGGTATTGAACTTTGAAAATACACTGCTTCTTCCGAGGTTTCGTATCGGAAATCTTGTGATAACATACTGTCTTTGCAGGACGTATTTTTTGAAATTCATGTTTATACCTCCGGCCAAATACCTTTGAACAAAATAAATGAAAGATATTCGGTTCAATTTGTTCAGACACAACTTTGGGAAACATCAAATCGATATTCAGGTTTGTTAAACCGAATCTACATAGAATTAATTGCAAATAACATTAATTTTTTGATAGCCCAGGGTGAAATAGGTATTTTAAATTTTTAGAATTTTCTACATTCAACGTATTGATGTGAGTACTATAAGTGTAACTATAAAAAATCGTGATTATTTAAACTATTAAGAAAACACTACCTGTTAATTGTCACTATATAAGTGATAACAAAAAATCAGACTAGGCCAGAAAAAAATTATATTGCAAAAATAGTCCTACAAACATGGTCAATTTTGGATAAAATTCAAATGTCCAATCAATAGAGCACATTAATTGATATAATTAACAATTGTAATTAATTATTATATATCAATAAAGTGTCAGTACCGACAATATTGCCATTTTAACATAACAATTCTTTATTTTTAAACACAGGCAAGAATAAATTCAACCCGGAATAAAAAGCTTTCACCATTCATAAAAAATATGCTTTTTTAATTAGATAATTTATTCGGAAATAAATATTAAATCAGCTGCCATATTATTTATACTTATGTTATACAAATGGGATCATATGGTATTTTTGTATATGATAAATCCATATTAGAATAGCATGCATATATATTACCGAGATGTTTAAATTGCAAAACATTCATGAAAAATATTTTGTATTTGCTGATTTTATGAAAGAAAGTTTATATTTTTTCTCTCACAATTTCATAATTTAGTTGATAGTCGTTTCAAAAACATCGGACAACCGCAAAAACAAATGACAAACAAACAAAATGCTTGTAACCTAGGTGATATTAAATTTCGAAATTTTTGAAATTGCCATATCTTTTGAAAGACTCGCACGGTGAAGTAGTGTGTGACGCGTCATCCGGAATTTAGTATTCTTTTTCAATAATGCTGCAGGCATTGCAAAGGAAGGACTCCGGTTGTAAGGTAAGAGTAAAAGTAAATAATNATTTAAATCACGGATCAGATCCCTCAAAAAAAAAAAAAAAAAAAAAAAAATAGTTGACCAAAATTTAAATTTGCCAAATTTAAATTCACCTGGGACTTTGGACTCCTCTTCCTAAAATAATTGGGCAATTAGAAGTTTAGTTATCTCAATTTGTCTTCGTCCGTCTACCGATTCTATTCTTAAATTATATAAAATTTTTTATTTTGATGATCCCAACGAAAATTTAAGAATCAAGAATTTCTGAAGAAATTTATGTAACAAATTGTCAATAATAAATTTTTAATTTTGTTCATATCCTTTTTTATTTATTTTGCTTTAATTGTATCTCTATCGGAAACTAAAAGATAGTAAAAGGTAATAAAATCGATTTTTTTCAGTACAGAATAAATAGTTATATTTGAATGGTCGAAAAAAAAATAAATGGTAAAATATGGTTTATTTTAAAAAATTAATCTCAAGCGAACGATGTCATTGGCCCCATAGTTTTGATATATCGATTTTGTCCACATATTTTTTTAAGCAGTGATTTATCCATTACAATTCTTTCATCCATTCTACCTGTGGATAGCACAGCATCCGGACATAGCCCATGAATTTTTGGTTGTGAATAATATCGAGAAATGCAACTCATTTTCGTCGATACTGAACGGGTTAAATCACTTTCAAACATTTCTTTGAACTGTGAATGTAAAATGCAATGTACATGATTTATCGAAAAATCATTTACATTTACAGTACATGTTTTACATATTATTTTCACAATTAATCAAGGATTTTAATTGAGATAAAAAAGTTAATGGCACGAGCGGGATTCGAACTCATGATCTTCGGCTTGATACGCCGCTGCTCTACCACTTGAGCTATCGTGACCTCGATCTACTCGGACATGAACTTCCCATCTCAACCACACCTTTTGAATTTTCCCTCCTCTTTGCCATTTTTCTTCCCGCTCGTGCCATTGACTTTTTTATCTCAACTAAAATCCTTGATTAATTGTAACATATCAATTGGTCAAGCGGACCACAAAATTAGTGAATTTAATTATTTTCACAGTTCAACGAAGCGTTTCATACTTTCATAAATATTACGTTTTTGAATGTTCGGGACAGGCGAATAAAATTTAAATTTACAGTGGGCAATTTAAAAGCTCGATTTGAATAGTAAATACCAATTGAATATAGTTATTTTGTAGTTCCAGCTAATATTTTATTTAAGTGCTATTTAATTGCTTTAACCTTCACCGAATGGAACCTCTATGAGCGAAAGTGCCTATGGAGGAAGGTGTTGGTACGTGTTGTTTACAAGCAGTGAACTTTTAATTTGAAAAGTTAATGTTATTTTCATTTACGAAAACATCCAAAATATTCCTAAACATTGCTGTCTTCAGAATAATTCGGCAATGCAAGGGACTCTAGAGTTATTATGTTTTGACCCATATTCGTTCATGATTTTTTAAGTGGTAGTGCCAGGTGCTGTAAAACAGACAATAACGAACGTAGCAAAAAAAAAAAAATACAAATGGACAACATTCGCATGCACAGAAAAATAAACCTATAGGCCTAAGAAGTTGGTTAACTAATTTGGACTAAAAACAGCACTAAGAACTAATAATAACAGGCAAACTAAAAAGAAACCTAGACACAACTGGACTGCTTGACGGTGATTTTGGTTCACATGTCAATGCGGAGCCACATACGTTGGACAGACTGAAAGGAAATTATGCGATCGAATCAAGTACATCGTAGATCCTTCAGAAACAACGACGGGAAAACAAATTACGCCGTAAATTTAATACATCTCAATTCAATGTACAGGACAACCTAGCTATACACAAACAAATAGCACTGAAAGACGGAGAAATTTTAAATGTACAAACACACATTCACACACTATTTTCATACCATTACAACCTCAATGACCACCGTGACCACGCCCCATCGACATACTACGGATCCGAAGACATTCAAACCCCACTCGGACAAATTATAGTACCTCACTGAAGATGACGGTGTGGGTAATTCAAAAAACCCGTGAATGAAGGCACACCAAATTATGTAGGTTCAATATGAATACACACTCCCAGACCAATAGCCATCATAATTCTACCATCTTGTTATTGACTAGCCTAAAAAACACTTACTTTTTTCGCCCTATTTTCTATTTGGTACTTCAATCGAAATCCATTTATTTATCTTCACAATCTAACAAAGAGCTCGTTTTTTTATTAATTTTTTGTTTACTTTATTCAACATGTGAAATGATCACATGTTTTTCCTATGTTGTTTGGTTATGGTAGGGGAAGTGCAATAATACACGGAAATTAAATTGACCCCGGTCATTCATGAAAGGTTTATGCCATTTTTTGTTCCACTTCTCATTGTTATTAAATTTTTACACGATCTATGGATCTAGTGGTCAAAACTGTTGGATTTTTGTTCATACTTTTAACCGAGATAATTAAAATAAAATTGGATAACAGGATCGATCTATACGAGCCCATTCTAGGTTGTTTGGTATCTCAATTGTAAGTTTTAAGAAAAAAAACTATTTTGTATGCGATTGGATATTTCTTCACATAGTAAGCTTTATTATTAATGCAAACATTCTTGGCTATTGTAGAAGATCGTTTTAGATTAACGTCTATTTTTATGTTTTCTCTTTCTGTTTGTTTTTGTTGGTGTCTTTGTCAGCGGGTTTATTTCAATCTTGGCAATGTTCGGACAGTTCTTGGACTCTTTTGAACCTTTTTTTATATTCTTTTGAAAACGTTTAGCCTCGGATGAGCGTAACGTTAAAATACTCCGTCGCCCCAAGACGAGAAGAGGAAAGTGTACATACACATCCGAGAAGGGCGCCTTCTGGAAAAAGGGGCCCCCTTCGCCGTTGAACTATGGGGTTTGCTCATCCTGACAGGCCTAATAATTCAGACTTGCCTTTACCATCGGCCCGAGGATCCGTGAGCTACGCGAGATTTACACCTTTTTTGGAATGGATTTGTGGCCCCGAAGGGAGGAAGGCACTTCTCCAGCTAGAGACTACTACAGAGACACATTGCCGTTTTACCCTCTTCACATGTGATGCCGGTGTTTGACAAAAGAAGCCCAGTCTTTTGTTAAAGGTGCTTCAAGTGTTTCTCTGGAAATCAATAGCCCAAAAGGAAGAAAAGCAAAATGGGAAATTTCAAATATGATTTATCGCGATAAGTAATGCTTGTAAACAGATAATAGCGAACAAAAAGTTGCAAAAATGAATTTAACACATTTTAAATCAGTAATGGTAAGATAATTTTTCATATCACAAATACCGATATTTAATGAAAATCTTCAAAAATTACCATTACACATTATGCTCCTGCTTCATTAAAAATATATTAAGAAAAACATACTATTAATGACTTTTCCTACGTGAATATTATTTTGATGTTACGGCCGTCTGAAGGAACTGATTGTGAAGGCGACAATCGTTTTGACTCAAAAGGACGAAAGACACCGCATTCCTAAATAATGGCTTTACGAGAGAAGAAAGCCAACAATAGGAGTAATGCGGCCTTTTGTCAGCCGTAAGACTTTTTTTCCAGCCAACTCAAGGAATTTGTTAAAATAAAAAATGTATTTAGTTTTTTAACCGTGACAAAAGTATAACAAAGAGCAAGACGTTACGATGTCCCTGGCCGATACAGTGCGTAAAGATGACATAATATTTTTTAAAATAATAAAGTGTTTAATTGCTTCATTTCCGGCACAAAATACAATGTATAATTTCAAATGTAACCTTATACGTATTTAGCACTATTTTTTGCTTCAACATAATTTATTTCTCCAAACACATTTTGACATAGACAGAGTCCTTTTGTCGAGTTGTGAAATTTATGAAATAATTAGCTAGTATGTACAAACAGATTCATTTACCCACATAAGTAACAATTAATTAATCTTTAATTAAGGTTTTGGTTGAGATAAAAAAGCCACTGTCACGAGAGGGATTCGAACCCACGACCCTCGCCTAAATACGCCGCCGCTCTACTTGAGCTATCGTGACTTCGAATCCCGCTCGAGGCACTGGCTTTTTTTTCCCCAACCAAAACCTTAATTAAAGATTAATTAATTGAAAATAATTTATTTAGACAATCGGACCACGAAACCTAATAGATCTAATAAATAATAAAACCATATAATATATACATTACTATACAAAAAGATGAAATTACATAATTTATATGTACTTAAATTATTTTTATATACATGCTATTGCAAATATTTACATTATTGCAATACTTAAGATGATACTCTCCTTCAGGTATTGTAATTGTCTATTAAAAACCTTCTGTATCTCCAATCCATTACATTAAAAGAGTATAAACATTCCTACCTCTTGCCATTCATGAATTGAATGAGTTCTTCTCGTAGGAAAGCATTTTTCCTGAAGGCTTTTAGTCTAAATCCGTTTAGAATAGGGCAGACAGCTACATAGTAAAAGATATCTTCCACCGCGCCAACATTACACATTGTGCAAGCATACCGTTCTTCCGTCCAGCCCCTTCTAAAATTTAAACCGAGCAGTTCGCTCACAATCTTCAGTTTTCCTCTCATGAAATTAAATTTGTTTTTATTTCCATTAAATTTACTAATTTTGTGGTCCGCTTGACCAATTAATATATTACAATTAATTAAGGTTTTTAGTTGAAATAAAAAAAGTCAATGACACGAGAGGGATTCGAACCCACGATCTTCGGCTTAATACGCCGCTGCTCTACCACTTGAGCTACCGTGACCTCGATCCACTCGGACACCAACTTCCCATCTCAACCGCACCTTTTGAATTTTCCCTCCTTTTTGCCATTTTTTTTGTTTTTATTAGAAATGCAGTGGCCCCTGCTTAGATCACGTCTTAATTCGTTGTACAGTTTGCTTTATGCAATACATTATTATGATATTCTTGTATAATAGTCTCAAGCAGATATTTAAATGGCTTTTTTTCAAATACTCTAAATACCATAATTCATATTTGTTCCCTTTTGGTTGATCTAATATTTTGTATGAATATGGCCTCTTCCTTAACCAAAATTTGGAAGGGCTACCGAAGATACTCTATTCTTTTGAGGTTCCTAATAACTGAGGTCAAACCACCCTCAGGGTGTCTGTGTTTTGAACAAAATCAGCAACTATATCGGATTCGAACGTAGAACCACTTGACTTAGCCCGCGACCTTTACCTTATAATGATGGGCACCGTGTCAATTATTCAAATTATTGAAAAAATATTTTTCAAAAATCACGCACTCTTTTTGTATCCTTAAGTTTATCTACTTATATTTGTATCGACCCATGATACAATGCCAAAGTGCACCCAATCTCCGCTTTTTTATTGGTGAAGAGGCTGATGATCACGGATGCTGTAGGTCAATTACACCTGAACGCTTTTATCATTCGAGTGCTTTTCCAATCGGAAAAGTTCTTGGCTTTGAGTTTTCATCTCCTTGTCAAATATCTCATCCTCAACTTAGCGTTCCCTCTCATTCACACTTATTATTGGGTGGGGGAAAGGAGATATATTTTCTTACTACTTTAGAACTCGTTGAATATTGAATACCCATCGACCTTCAATTAGATTACTTATAAATGTGTAGAGGGTGATAGATTAAGTGCCAAGTCGACACTCTGACTGAGATGGGTATGTAAATAGGAAAGAATGTATTTAAGAATGTGAATTGATATGAATCTAGAAACTTATTTCTTTGGGTGCTGAAATGACCTAGCTATTGATCCTGGAGCCCACATTCGATTGCCGGGACTTTCCAGAAAAGATATATTTAAAAAAAAAGGTTATATATTTCTAAAAGCTCCGTAGACTTTCTAAAATCTTCGCAATTTATCACGTGTGATTTGCCAGCAAAAATAAATTTAAAAAATTACGAAAATGAAAGATGAACCGAAAAATAAATGGGGATTTTTTTGTCAAGAGAATTGATGAAAAGTAAAAAATATTTTACACATGTTTTAGCAAGGTTGTAAATAGTAAAACCATTTGTGATGGTCAATTAACAAAACATATTTTAATTTTATCATTTTATTCGGAAGGGTTGTGACTTTGCCAAAAATAAATTACAGCGTCAAGGGCTAACTTGATCAATAATTGCGCTAAATTTTATCACATTAGGCCTTTAGGCTGGCAAGATATCAACAAAAATGTGTTGTACGGGAGTTCATCTCTAGTAATAAGCTTAGGCCGATGAGGGTGAATTCCTTTAAGCATATTTTGACAAAATTTATGTATTATAACATGGCTCAAGAAACTAATATTGAAGGCCAAGTTTCGTCGAATTCTGATAACCGTACATAAATTGGTCATTTTCTTCATATTCATATTCTAGTAAATTACAATTAATTAAGGTTTTCAGTTGAAATGAAAAAAAAGTTTATGGCACAAGCGAGATGCGAACCCACGATCTTTGGCTAGATACGCCGCTGCTCTACCACTTGAGCAAACCTGACCTCGATCCACTCGGACATCAACTTCCTATCTCAACCCCACCTTATGAGTTTCTTTCTGGCGTATCTAGCCGAAGATGGTGTGTTCGAATCCCCCTCGTGTTTCATCTCAACTAAAAACCTTAATTAATTGTAATGTATTAATTGGTCAAGCGGACCACGAAATTAGTGAATTTAATAATTTAAAATGAAGTATACTTCACTAAAGCTCTCCGTGGCCATTTCATTTGTCGTCGAGAATCCAATCCGATTACACGACATTTGAAAAATAGCAAAAAGGAGGGAAAACTCATAAGGTGGGGTTGAGGTAGGAAGTTGATGTCCGAGTGGATCGAGGTCACGATAGCTCAAGTGGAGAGCAGCGGCGTATCTAGCCGAAGGTCGTGGGTTCGAATCCCGCTCGTGCCATTGACTTTTTTATCTCAACTAAAAACCTTAATTAATTGTAATGTATTAATTGGTCAAGCGGCCCACGGAATTAGTGAATTCTAGTAAATATTGATTTGATTGAATGAAATAACATTGATATCGTTGAATAAAGTATTTCCATACGTAAACTTTGAAATATTGTTATATAGAAAATATAAAAAATATTGTTGAATAGAAAATATAGGTACAATTCACAGAAAAGATGCAAATAGATAGATATAGAAATATGATATAAACAACATCAGTATTGCTCAGTAGAAGAAAATATCGAGTCTCTCGAACTAGACAGAATAAATTTGCCCAAACTTAAATTTTATTCTGATTACAGATACAAAACTAGTTAC